GGAGTCCTTCAGTTCCCGCCGTCGCTCTGCAGGGCTTTGGAGTCCTTCAGTTCTGAAGGTTCAACTGGAAGATGTAGCTGGCTGCTCGATTCTTTCTCTGAGGAGCTTATTGGGAGTGCTCTGGGAGTGGTCTTTACTATTGAATGGGTATGAAATGCTACTTCGTGGTGTAAGTGCCTTGTCTTCACCTTGCTATCTGTAGGAGCATAAAGTTCATACCAAGAAATTTCTCTCCTCCCCTCCCAGGACTTTCCCACTGACTCCCCCTTGTCCATCACAGTTGTCTTTGGGTCTGGCCAGCTCTTCCTGCAGATGTTTTCATTTGGATGATTGCATCCTTCCCAACCTTTCCCATTTACCGAGAGTGCTGGGAGGTGAATCCTCTTAGACAGTAGCTTTTTGTGTCATTGGTGTTCTGATAGGTCAGTGGAGGCTCTCACAACATGACATTTAAATTGAGTGGGTTTTGTTTTTTAATCTCGTGTCAAGAGAATGAGCTGGGGAGTTGAACAGTGTTCTCCGTAGTCTCACTGTGTAGAAGATGCCGGTCTGATTCACACACTGTTTTCCACACTTCAGGTTTGCCTGGATGTGAGGACATGCTCTTCTCAGAGGCTGAGGACAGACAAACGGGGGTGTGCTGCTCTCTCGGACCCTTACAACTTTACACAAGCTGTGTGAAAGGCATTTAGTGTAAACCATGCCCCAAATACTAATCTGAGGGGTTTGTCACCCTCTTGTCCCTCTGAACAAATTTTCCTCTTCCTTCAGAGCTAAAATAAACCATGCTCTTCTGATGCGGCCACATTGTGTGGTGTCACTGTGGCCATTGGGAGAGTCTGTTGAGAGAATAGGGATCACGTTATAAATCCTCCCTCCCTTTTATTTCTAGAATTTCAGTGGCAGAATTTTTTCCCTTTTTCCTACTTGATACCCTTTTGCGACAGTAAAGAAGGATCTGAACCTGAGACTAACATAAGCCCTTCCTTGTCCTTTTTGCCTGTTAAGCTTTGTGCCAAGGAAGGCAGTGCCCTAGTGCTTGGCCTGCTTCCCTCTCTGAGTCCACGGCAGAGCACGGAGCTGCCTTGAGCAGTCCCAGTGCTTTTCATTCATCACTTCTCATTCCCAGGGCCTGACCGAAGCCAGAGAAGAGTCCTGGGTTATATCTGCTTGGCACCTGTGATTGTTGGGGCATCGGTGGGTATGCGAGGGCGCGGTGCCTAGGAGTTGGGCGTTGCTCTGTGTTCAGATTTATGACCATTTGACTCTGTACTCGAGGTCTGTCTGTCTACTTACGTCATTGTAATGATTTCACTCCTAACTCTGACATTTTTATTAAACGTGTGAATAGATATATAAAGATTGATACAAAAGAGTGTTTGTCTTTGGACAAATGGTGGTGGGGAAATCTTCCATACGGGGCTTATCATTTGGCCCTGATCACAAATGTTGGAGGACGTTTCTGCTCACAGAGTTGTCGCGTGGAAGCTGCAGGGCCTGTTCTTTTTTGGTAGCTAGTGGCTGATGCACAGCCAGCCTTCTTGTCTGGCCTGGAACCCTGGAAAGGTGACCAGTTTGGCATCTCAGATTGCCTGTTCCTACTTCCTTGTCTTCACCTTTTCCCTTGCTCTTCAAGAAGGATCAGGTTGGAGGAATAATGGCAGAGCTTTGCAGAGAGTAAAGCTTGGGAGTCAGGAGAGAAGGACGGGTGAGCACAGGTCTAGAGGAGGTGAGTAGCCATTCGGTATCCTTGGCCGAGAAGGACGGGGTGAGTGAGCTCAAAACCTACTCTGCTTGGTGGACAGTAGGGTTGGACAGGCAGTTCTGCTGTAATGTTTGTTTTGAAGATGCAGATGTGTTCCTTTGCGGTTGATATATTTGGAAACACTTTGAACATGATGTAAATTTGGGGTTTGTGTGTGATTTCGCCTGTGCGGAACGTTAAGTGAAGGTAGAGAACCACACCAGCTGCACGGAGCCTCACAGGAACCCACAGAGCGTACACCCAGCCTCACCCCTGGTGTTCTGCAGCCATCCACCTGATTTCAGAGACCACTCCCGCCACCACCCCACAGCCACTAGGGCCGCAGCCATCCATGGCCACCCCGGCCATGCAGCCATGCAGCCATGCCTCTTTAATTTCCCCCGTTCAGCCTTTTTATGGTTTTCCTTTCTGTGCTATTCTTTTTCTCTCACTCTTTTCCTATCTCTTTTGTTGTCTTTCTCACAGGGTGGTGGGCGCAGGAGCTGGGTGGTGGTGGGGGGGCGCAGGCCCTGGGCAGGGGGCGCCGGGCCCTGGGCTCGGGGCAGGCACACAGGCGCATGCTTCCACAAACAAACTGTAGATCTTTTTCAAGATGAAGTGTTCTGTATTCATTGTTGTGTTCATATATTTCTTAATCAACCGTTTGACATGTACAAAACCGTGCTGGTTCTTCTCTGTCACTGACAGAGTGTTATCGGTCTTGGCCACTGCTGCTGGCTGTTGAGCCAGTAATAGCAGCCATGACAGGGCACTCCCCGTGCCGGGCACCCAGCTGCCTGCTTTCATGCGCATCTCATCCTGCAGCAGCCCTGTATTACAGACAAAGACTGTCTTAGACAAGGAAATGGCCTCAGAGACTAAGGGACTGTTTTATTCAAGGATACACAGGAAGTGACAGCCAGGATGCAGACCGAGATTTGCCCACTCTGACTCTCTGCTGGCAGTGTGACTTAGTTTAGCTTCCTTTCTCCTAAACTCTGTCCTGCTAGGTTCCTTGCGAGGGTTGGGGGTCAGAGGCTTTCTCTTGATCTGCCCCGTTAGGTCGTACGGGGTTTCCCTTTCCCTCCTCCCATCCCAGCTCTGTCACCTGTGCAGTAGAGTCGCCCGAGCTGTGTCTCTACTGGTTCTGTGATGCTCTTTCTCTGTGTATCTGAAGCATAAATACCATTTTTCTCCTGAAAATCGCAAGACATACACCACTACCAGGCGCACTGTTTAATATAGAGATTGAGGGGGGCGAGGTATTCTTAGGGACATCTTTAAAATAACATTTTCTTTTAAAAAAAATGTTGCTACACAGTAATCAGTCATTGTACTCAGCATGGTAGAACAAAAGTCTGAAAATTCTTCTCAAAATGAAAATACTCTTCATAAAATCTGAGAGCTCCGATTTCTAGTGAATAATCTTGTAAGTTTCTATAAACGAAGGTAAAGGATAGCATGGGGTGGGAAGGCGTAATCTGCTGGGAAATGTGCCCGTTCCTGCAGACACCAGCGGGTGCCAACGTGCCCGTCCTGCAGACACCAGGGGGTGCCAACGTGCCCGTTCCTGCAGACACCAGCGGGTGCCTGAGGGAGCCGCTTTCAGAAAGCTGCCAGCTCGCCCTGTCACAGCTGCTTGAATAACCTCAGGGCTGGTTCTGGTCCACAAGTGCACTTTAAATGTTTAAACAGATAATAAATAAAAGCTAACGTCATCGTCTACATCTGCAGAGCCTTACCACACCTTAAAATGTCGGTGAATGTTTGAAAATGGTAATCTTTGAGTTTTTTTTATGGTTAATGCATTTTATCATATCTTAAAACTTTGCTGTGTACATAAGTTAGGATATTCAACTTCGAGGGATAGAAACCTACAATATGGCTGAAACAGGACTAACATTTATCCTCTCTCTTGGGAATGGAGACAGTCCAGGGCTGGTATTGTAGTTCCGTAATCACCCCAGACCCAAGCTCCTGTCATCTCCTTCTGCCTTCATTGCACAGCTGCCACTGAGGTGGAACCACAGTTACCTCTGAACCTCTGCGGACGAGACCCAGGCAGCAGCGTGGTTTAAAGCTCCTCAGAATTCTAATGTGCAGTGAGTTTAGAGAACCACTGGTGAGGTGGTTAAAGGTATAGGCTCTAGAGCTAGAGTCAAGAGCTGTGTGACCTTGAACAAACTACTGAGCCTCTATCTTTTTCCTCATCTGTAGAAAGGGAATAATCGTACCTACCTCGTAAGGTTGTTGGGAAGAGTAAAGAGTGCACAAGAAGTACTTAGAATGATGTCTCAGACATAAGGTAGCACTCAAGGCATTTTTGCAGTTTTACTCTTTCCTGGTTATATTTCTGGATGTACTGTAGTTTGCCAGTGTCCTTCCTGAAATGTGGAGCCAGAATGGGACACCACTGTTCCTGCAAGGCGAGCACCATGTGGGCTGGAACTGTGTCTGGCTCATTGACTGCCGTGTCTCCAGTGCCTGGTCCTGGTGCCTGCTCCACCTCCACCGTGTCTGTGTTCCGCAAGTGGAAAGGAGGAAAGGGAGAAGGTAATGGCCTCTACCTTTAAGGCCATTTCCCAGAATGGCACACCGTTTCTGCTAACAGCACAGTGGCCAGAATTTAGTTAGAAGTCCGCACCCAGCTGCAAGGGAGATTGGGAAATAGAGTCTTTACTTTGAGCAACTGTGCGCCTGGTTAAAGTTCAGGAGTATTTTTGCTGAGCGGTGTTAGACACCCACGCTGGGAAAGTTTGGGGGATGGGAGAGGGAGAAGGGGCACTATTTGGGGACACAATTTCCTCTTTTCGGTGTGTCCAGTCTGCCCTTTCCATTGAAAGAGAAGTGGCAAACTACAGAGAAGATTTGGGGCAAGGTTGGGCTATCCCTGAGTGACTCCAGGGTGGTCAGCTTTGTACATTGTCATGTCTAGGAGCTGATCCTCAGCTTTGTGGGCTCACAAACTCCATTGTGTCAGAGACCAGAGTTGTCTCAACTCGGGCCTAATAAGGCGCTCAAGAGAAAGACA